CTTCCAGCCCTAACGATTCTATGATTCTATCGTTCACTCACAGAGGAAGAAGGCATCTGATTCAGAGGCATGGCTAAAAGCAAACCAAGAGTCCAGGAAAGAACAAGCCGAGTACAAAAAATCTGCTGAGAATAGAGCTTTAAGAGTAGAAAAGGAACTTCAACAGATCTGGGAAAGGTGAATTCAATGATGAGTAAGAAAAAGAGGGCTGTGAGCTAAACTATCAGGTGAGGAGGAACACCAAGAACAGAGAAATGGCTGGAAAACCAGAAGAACCTGGACTAGGACTTGCTGACAATGGCGGAGATTAGAAACAGAAGCTATTGGAGTGGTAGAGGAAGAAGACACAAGCTGACTAACAGGAGAACAAAGCCTTAAGGACAAACAGAATGAACAGTGAATGGAGACTGATAGGAAAAAATGGGTCAGATAATGACCTCAGAGAGGGAACATGGGACTAGCTGGCCAAGTAAATTTGGGGGCATCAGGGACAATAATAGAACTAAGACTGCTGGGGAGGATAAGACTGGGACTAAACCCATTGCAACAGAGTCCCCTTCACCACTGAAATCTGCAGGTGCTACTGCATACAAGTTGCAAATAATCATGCTTGGCAAACAAAATATTTAAGATAGGTTAGGTAGTGACAGGATGAACAAAGAGTTAAATTCCCTTAGGTGAGCACTGATTTGCTGGGAAGCAAAATTCTTCCTAAATTCCAGTCATGCAGAAGCATAAGCTGCAGAAGCTTTTCTGTCACATCACTCCCGGTTAATATATGGAAAGGCTGGAGGAAAGAAATGCTGTCTTGGTCTTGATTCCTTCTCACTCCACTTTATGGAAATAGATCGCAGAAGAACATACTGGAATACCGTGAGGAATCCATTTCAGAGCTCTTAGCACAAGGATCATTTCACTGTGTCTATGTCTTCTATTTGGTCAGCAGCTGGAAAAACCCTGATACCTTTTAGGCAGCCAACCCACAGCTGTAGACAATCTGATCTGTGAGGTGCTACATGGGGGAGGTCTGCTTAGGAGGCTAGATACAGCAGAAACTTCCACTGTAACACTGGCATAGCTCTCTCACCCACAGCAAGCAGTTCCTGATACAGTTTTCCAGAAAGGAAAACAAACAAACAAACCAACCCCCCCAAAACCCCACAGAAGTCAACTTCACCTTGAAACTTCACTTACAGCTATTCCTTTATTTCATCTTGCACATTTTTTGTTTGGGCTTTCAGCATTTAAGCTCAAGTCTTACGGCATTTAAGTATATACATGTTTATGACTTATGAATCATGACATTTAATTTTCTTCATCAACATTAGTAGGTGTTTGTTTATAACAACGGACCAGAGCTTATCTCATTCTAGACAAATTTCATATTACAGAATGATTGCTGAGCTTGGGAAGGTGTGTTCATTTGCATTTAATTCTCCTTTGAAATAGTGAAATTCTGCCACCCTCTGGACAACAACTAAGACATATTTACAATCAGCCTCAAAAGTAAAAAATAGCACTGCCACTGATAAACGTTAATTGCTTTTTAAGCACATTTTAAAATTAATCACTAGGCTGAATGAAAAATAGCAGTTACTATTAAACTACAGACAAAACAATTACTTTAAGTACTGAACAGCCTTCTTACTAATAGTATCTAATCAAACAGCAAACATCAAAGTGTTCTGTTCTTAACCTTTTCTAGTAGTCACTTCATTGTTCACAGTTGTATTTTTAAAGATCTGCTACCAAAATATGATATAATTTTTCATCATGCCAATATGTATTTCCACAAACCAGAACATTCTGGAATTATTAGCACCTCCGTGACTGAGACAAAAGTGAATACACATAAAAGAGAGTTCACCGGGAGAAAGAAGGCTAAGGAGAAGGCTGCATTATGACTGATATAATTAGCTTTAAAAAGTGTCAATGGGAAAACAAGACTCTTGCATTCACATGACATGCAGCACTTATTGCTAATAGTATTGCTAGTCAATGCATTAATATGATCATTTGAAAGAGTAAATGTCTGTGCATTCAAATTTACGAACTGTGCTTCCAGGATTAGTGTGGGGAAGGAGGACTGCAGCATATATGTTGTACAGTACCTTGTTTTGGCTATGGAGCCTAGCTGCTGTTGCTCTCGGATGAGCTGAGCCAGCTGTTTTTGCAGAGACATATCTTTACCATGTACTTGTTTAATAAACGGATGCTCCAAAAGGTGGGTGACTGAAGGACGCTTTTCAAAATCCTTGATAAGACACCTGTGACAGAGAAATAGTGGTCTCAGGCAATGATGTTACTTCATTACAGCATGATTTGAGTTGGCTTACTGTGTGGCTGCTATTGTACAGTAGTTTCCACTGTATGCAACAAGACTCTTCCTCTACATTGGAATAAATCTAGCATAAAATGCTTAACTAAGTGAATTCACCCTACAAGTATACTAGTATAAAGGCTATGAAATCGAGCTTATTTAATCTGTCTTTTTAACTGTAACTAGCTTACTATGAAAAAAAGGCACCATATCTATTACGTACTGTACAGTTAATATACATTAAACATAACCTAAGAAGAATAGACAATATTTAATTCACTTCAATTTTCTACCTCTTCTCCAATGAGAGTTTTGACAAAGAACTGCAGGATATAGCCTAATAAAAACCACAAGTGAAACCTGTGATACAACACTAGTCAGAACAATTTGATATGGAGCTCTGTTTTGTTTTTAAAATGAATGTTTCAGGTAGATCTTCTATATTGCAAGAGTAAGTGTTAGCATAAGAATCAGAAAATTCTGCAAACCTACATAATTCAGACTGGGAGAGAAATGAATGAGTCAGAACTAAATGCTAGCCAGGGTACCAAAGTTCTATGATAGAAACAGGTGATCTAGTAACGAGTAAAGAGATATATCCTATTAAATTAGCATAAAATAAAGTATCATGTTAATTTATATAATTAATATTTAAAATTGAGTAAGCCACGATTAAAGATGAGTTCTTTTCTGTACAATAAAGCTGATATAATACAGTCCAACAGAAGAATGATCTAACATGATTAAACTACTTTAAAAGTACCCTCTAATTCTTTATATTAAAGTATTCTGTTTATCTTGCTCAAATAATAATATTAACAGAATATTTCAGAACGTGAAAAACAAATGCTGCAATTCAGTCCATATCTCCCTTTCAGCATTTATCAGTTCAGTGAATTATAGCCCAAGATGAGTTTATTTGATGAGATGCATTTGTATTACATACTTCACAATTACATCTCATATCTGCTGATATTGTGATACATCTAAAGTACTTCCTTAACAGGGCCAAATATCACAAATAAAGATTATCTTCTAGCCCAAAGTTCAATGAAACTTTAATACCTTTCAGAATAATTTATATTCTAGCAATATCAATAACAATTTGCAAAATTTAAACTACATCTAAAAAAAAAATAAACCATACACATTAATTGATTTCAAATACTACCAAACAGATTAGCAAATGATTAAAGTTTAGCCTCACCTCAAATACTTTACTGAAGCCTAAAGTCTGGTCTTGAAATGATCCTGAAATATCTTTTAACATAACTTTAAGACTTTAGGTTCCTGAAAACCATTTTCCCAACCTCTTCTTGGCATGTTTAGTCCAGAAAAGACAGTCTGTAAAATGTGCTACCAGTTTTATAATTATTTTGGTGAATTTTGCTATAGCTAGAACTGTAGCCACCTGACAGAAAGACTAAAGTAACAGAACCTGCTTTATCTCCATCCCTCTGAGTGTAAGGCTATAAGCACCAGTCCTTCCCTCCCATGAAGAGATCCATCACTGCCTTCAAAAGGTTCTGACACCACCTCCATTCCCCCTTTCCTTTTGTGATCCATGGTCTTTAAAAGTCAATACATCCACACAGACAACATGGTCCATGACAATCCTGGTTAAATTTATACATTTCCTGAGAAAAAGGAAAAAAAACATTTGAAAAGAGAGATCGCATTAGTCAGGAAGGCAGAGGGAAAAAAAATCAAACCAACAAAAAGCTGTGAAGCATACAAAATCACAGATTGATGCCAAGTATCTGAAGTGGAGATTTCAGTCTGAAAAGCTCATGCACTTATGTGATTTTTACCATTCTAACAATAATTATGAATTTATAGTATTTATGCTATATTGTTAAGATATAAATTTGCTTGTTAAATTTTACTACATCAGGATTTTTTCAGTAATATAACTGAATCCAAGTGAAGCCATGTCATAGAATCACAGAATAATTTGGGTTGGAAGGGACCTTTACAGGTCATCTAGTCCAACCCCCTTGCAATGAGCAGGGACATCTTCAACTACATCAGGTTGCTCAGACACCCATCCAATCTCATCTTGAACGTTTCCAGGGAGAGGGACATCTGCCACCTCTCTAGGCAGCCTGTTCCAGTGTTTCAACACCCTCATTATAGAAATTACTTTGTAATATCTAGTCTGAATCTACCCTCTTTTAGTTTAAAACCATTATGCCTCGCTCTATCGCAACAGGCCCTAATATCATGGCAGTTACTTTTCCAATAATAACAACATTAGAGTTTACATAGATTCTCTTCAAGAAATTACACAGTTCCAGACAGAATATCTTGTGTTTACCAAAAGTGTGAAGAACATACAAATCTTTTACCTAGTGGTATGCAATTATTAATATAAATTCTACTCTGGACTCTGGAATAATGCACCTCCAAAGAAACTCTATAGACACGATCCAGAAGTTGCAAGAGAATCTTTTCCATGTAGATGGCCCCTAGGTGAAACATCCAAACGTTTAGGATATTGTATTCATTAAAGAAACCCAACAAGAAGAGAGAGAAGGAAAATATTTTAGGGAAAAAACGTTCTTAGCTTCTCTATTACGTGCCCGAAATGCTAGCTGCTTGGGTCTGGCAGGTGTTTTAACCAGCACAGGTAATTTCTGTCAGGGAGGTAGTCTTGAAGACTACTTTAGGATCACCTTTGTTTCTGTTGCATACTCCTGCCAATTCCCTGCTGATTATTCACTTTGCATGCATGCTACTTTTGTGCTTTGCAACTATCAAAATTTATATATAGTTTAATCTCTATGTAGCCTTCATTCTCTGGTAGTAGAATATTTTTACAGTCTGTGGTCACTTAGGATTTCACTTGAAACACAAGTAAAACTTCATTAATTCCTAAGACGACCAGGCTAATGACACAAGATACATCCACATGATTCTGTGATCCAAGTCTCTGTTCCAAATTCAGACAGAGCACACCTAAGCTTCTGCCAAGCTTGTGCCTATACCAGGAAGAACAGAGCCCTTTCATATGGTTAGTGAGATGCCACAACGAAGCAGAGAGCAAGTAACTCACAGCTGTGTAAGGGTGAGGGACAACTCTTGTGTGAGTACTTCTACTTCAGTTGAGGGAAGAGATTGAAGGAGAATGTACATCTCCAGTGAAGTTGGTTTGATCCGTCAAGTTAAGTGGCAAGTTCCTAGCACATTAGGAACACAGCAGCAGAAAGACCAGGCAGGTCACAGAAAACCAAAGCATGTATGGCATATACACTCCTTTTGCTCTGAAACAGAGCAGAAGTGTTGACACAGTCATTTCTAGAAATTACTCCTTATTATGTTTCAAGTGCCAGTAACCAGCATGCAGCTTAGTCACAGTAGGTATTGTGGGCTCAGTGAGTACTCAGATGTTCAGTGCCAATTTGGTGTATCACCAGGCCTGCTGAGACGGAGTGCAGGATGGAGACCTGTCATGACACTGAAAAGACAGTCCTTATGTTTCTCCTCTTGGTGCACATTCCTTTGTCCTAATTCCTCTCTACGTAGACAAGACCTATTAATATTATAAGGCATATTTATATGCTCTGCTTCTACACACTGTCAATTCAACTGTCTTGCTTTGAGTGTCACACTGAATGCATGCTGTTGCTGTTCTTAGTCACCATTAGCCATAAAATAACAATTCTTGGGCACCACCTACGTGCTAGTGAAAAATGATACATCAGACTGTCAGTGTCACTGCAGGTGTTCAGTAAGGTATCTCCTATGCTGGAAGCAGTATTGACACTATACTGCTCTGCACAAAAAATTAATTTAATATAGAATATCAGCTCTTACAATGCTAAAGCCTGAATGAAAGTGAGCTTTATCACAGTGTTTTCTACTGACCTGCACTCTGAACTAGAACTACAATGTGTGAAAAAGTTACTCATATAGGTGCCTGAGTCCAAAGTTGCCAGTACATTCACTCAGGAGATGTATTCCATGTAAAGTCCAGAAAAAAAAAAATCAAGAAGTAATACACAAAAATCCAGTGATATTAACATTTGAAAGAGGAAGAGTATAGTAACCAAACAGCTTTTACAATGTCAATTATCAGAAAATATTCTTACTTAATGCAGCCAACAGAAATCAGTGCATGCATTGTGCAAGTAAAAAAAATATTAAGAAGTCATATCACTGAAGGATTCGCTTCTAAGAGAAGGAGAAAACTAAAATATCTTCAGGTGCTCATCAGAGCATTCCTTTAAGATCAATTTGGACAGCTAGCTTAGGCCCTGTCAAACATCAACCATGCTGCAATTAGATATAAAACCAAGAAATGTGATGCACCTGCAAATTAAGCCAATTTGTTTGGCTCATGGAAATTATTAAAAAAAAAAAAAGTTAAAAAAAAGTGGTGAGACTGCCTTGCACTGAGCAAATTGACTAGCAAATCTACTACAAGATAGGTACCGCATAAGGTATGATGAAAATATGATCATATTTGGTCTGCTAATTTTGGATCTAAAATAATGTGAAGGGTAAGTAAATAGAGATTGAAAAGGAATCAAACATTGTACATGTTTGCCTGATGAAAGTCAATCCATTACCTAATTTGAAATTCTAGTATCTTCCATCATGCTTTCTTAGTTGAAAATGAATTCTCAGAATTCATTAGTGTCACTACATTAAACACAGGGTGCAGCCATTTGCTGCAATCTCACAGCCAGGCTTCTAAGCACCATTTCTATTCTGCCACAAATGCAGGCAAAGACGAAGCATTTATTAGCAGGGGATAAGGGCAGACTCCCACACACACAGGCTCATCTGACACGGCCTCTAAAAATTCACTGGCTGCTTGCACTTGGACGATAACATTGTTAGAATTGCTGCCTCTCCACAATGTGAACTGCCATTTTACAAGCAGCAAATCAGATGACCGAAAAGGGGAGCTATTTATCAGCATTCATGACCTAATATTTACTA